CCAAGCTGGTCGCGCTCTACTTCACATATTAGAAAATAGAAACTTTGGATCTCATACCAAAGAAATAACCGAACTTTGTTATTTGTTATTCTGTGTAGCATTTTATTATACAAGAATTACAATTGATACTTCGTGTACCATCCATAACATATAATATGTATTAATATGTCAGGCATTTCTGCACTATAGCGATGGAAAGTGCTGGAGTGTATATGCGTCTGCTTTATACGTTCGTAAAACCCAAACAACGCTCTTCAAACCTCCAGTAAGGTTAAATGATAACAGTATAGAACAAGTATGTAATAAATTATATCGTTCTGTACTTGGTGTAGGTAAAGAAACAAAAACACTAGGTATTTGGGAAGAATTTGGTGTAAACATAAATAACAATTATGCAAATTAAATACTGGTACAGATTAAGTAACCTGCACGATAACAGTATAACATGCGCACTAACGGCATCGATGGGAATAATTCTAAATGTATTCAAAATATTTAAAAAAACCTGGGCCATATTTACTTTAGCACTATAGACTCAAGCTATAAAATATTACAGTACAACCTCGAAAAAACATGAAGATATAACTAAATTATGAATATATCCAGACATGGAATGAGTGGATAAATAACTGTCGTTATGATGGGACAGAAGGCAACGAACCAATTGTTTAAACATTTGGAGAATAATTTATTAAGATATTGAAGATTTCCATCTAAGTATATTATGTCAACATTTTGTTTAAGTGATCCTAACTTAGAAAGAGAAGTCTTAAACTTGAAAACCGACTTTGCAGAAAATTTGATACTGGCGTACATTTCATTTTAAGATGTACATTCTTTCACGGTGAAAAACATAGGCTACTGCAGGAATGTATACAATTGGTTTTTCAGCAACAACAGCAAGAATATAATTAAAAAACACCACTGAAATAGTAGATATTATGCTTAGTTGGATTGGTATACTGTTATTGCACACTGTCATAAATAGATTTACAAGAAATGGGATGGCCTTTTTCTGTTTTATTTTGTTATGCCAGTGTGCTAAATCACTATATTTTTATTACCTGTATTCAATGATGTTATACTAGTGTGATCAGACAAAGTTAGATTACGATGTGAGGAAAACACATGGATAAACATTGTATACAGAAGATAAACCATTTGGATTACAAAACATTAGGGCAATAACAAATAAAACAAAAGTAATGAAGGAAAAAATAATGTGTGGAATAATAATTTTTCTGACAATACCTTTTCCAGACGTAATGACGCACCCCTTATTAAATGAATATGCCAATCATGGCTATGGTAGGCTACATGTAGACCAATTATTTCAAGATAAAGTCATTTCGCACATCACAATAAAAAGGAACCACAATTTATTAAAAAAATAAAGAAATCGCCATTTAATTCATCCAAACTGATCAAGATCACAAGCATTATGACATAAGCCTTGACAATTTTTCAAAATTGTATTGATATCTATACAATTTCCCCAGCACTGCATTTTAGATTAGTTTTTAATTACCCCATTTCAAGCCCACCAAATCGCAAATAATTAATAGGAGGGTCCGAATTTGTATAATCATGAGCAATTGCCAACTAGCCATTTAAGCGATATGTTCAAATTCACTATGTTTAATTCTGCTATGTTTAAATTGACTATTTTTAAATCTGCTATGTTCAAATTCATTATGTTCAAATTCACTATGTTTAAATCTGCTGTGTTCAAATTCACTATATTTAAATCTGCTATGTTAAAATTCACTATGTTTAAATCTACTATGTTTAAATTCACTATGTTTTAATCTGCTATGTTTAAATTCACTATGTTTAAACCTGCTATGTTTAAATTCACTATGTTTAAATCTGCTATGTTTAAATTCACTATGTTTAAATCTGCTATGTTCAAATTCACTATATTTAAATCTGCTATGTTCAAATTCACTATGTTTAAATCTGCTATGCTTAAATCCACTATGTTTAAATCTGCTTTGTTCAAATTCACTATGTTTAAATCTGCAATGCTTAAATTCACTGTTCTTAAATCTGCTATGTTCAAATTCACTATGTTTAAAACTGCTTTGTTCAAATTCAATGTGTTTAAATTTACTAAATTTTAATCTTGCCGTTTTGAAATAATAACAAAATGAATGTTAATAACTATTTCATTTCACATATATTATATTTAAATTATTTTAAAATAAAAAGCTTATACTTTTGAAGTGTTATGATTTTGAACTATGGGTCTGATAAGACACCATGCGACAGTTGTTCAAACATCAATGTTCAAGAAAGTAGATGTATGTGTCGATACTGTTTTACAAAGTATTTCCCAGAATATCGGTAGAGTCTGTACTTTCCGGATGCTGGACTTCCTTTGTTGCCGAGCAGGAAAAAATCGCCAAACAAGCATAATTAAGTCAAAACTTTTCAAATATTGTTTTAAGATTAACGTAAAAGTACTGAAAATATGAAATTAATATGCAATTAGGTTAATTCACATTAAATAATTGGTGTAAAAAAAGTTTGTGTAAAATTTCGTTTCCCTGATTACATCACAAAGGCTTTTCAAATCATCGGCTTATGGTCAAAGCCCTGATTGGCTAATAGGTCTCTATGCCCTGTAAAACGCAATATCACTGAAAGTACAATTTTAGTCACATCCCGGCGCTGAAATGATGAAATATTTTCTCACTTTTTGAAAAGGTTGATGAAACCGTGCGAGACATGGATCATAGGCGTAGATTGGATTTTTGTTCAATACATTTACTGCCCCTCAGAAAATAACGTAGAGAGAATGAGTTTACCCCTTGGTTTCCAGCAAACTTCACAACCACGCAAAAGCTCATACGCAATAGGTATATGGTTGGTTTGCAAAATGAAGCCATTAGGACAGTTCGTCCACCATTTATTTATTCATTTGCACAAACTATAATCCAAAACATCCAGGCAGTTTAAAACCGCAAAAACTAAAATTTACATTTTAAAGTAGTAACGATAAAATCACTTTAAAAACAAACACGGGATATTCTACGAAGCTTACAAATATCATACTCAAATAACAAATCCAATTTTTGGACTCATACCACCCAGAAAAAAACGGCTGGAAACCTGTACCCGTCGCCCTGTCTAGGGTAGAGTTATTTACCATTACAGACTGCTTTTGTCCGGTTCAAATCGCTCAGCAACATTTCTTGCAAATTAGGTATACATCACAAGGAATACTACGATTGGAAGAACTTAATGTATGTTGACCACCTGGTAACTTAATTTTATGAACCTTGAAGGGCTCTTGGAAGATCCACGCACAGTAAAATCAGCGATTACTATGGAGCCGCAACCATCAACATCGAGATACCAGGAGGTTTCTGTTGGCGACATTGCAGAGTTACTCAGCTCCAACTAAAGTTTACCAAAACCAAATGAGCAACATTTTAACCGGTAACCACGACCCAGTCAATCCGCGACCAGTAGGCAACATCACAAACGTAGGTGTAGGGTGCAGCTCAGCGACGACCTCTGTCGACGAAAGTCATCCCGTCAGTGGAGTACCGCAGTTACATTTGTGGTGTATTCTGCTGTACTTTCACCCGCTACGCTCGTAAAAGTACGGCCGCAGGATACACTTCATCCCTCGTGAAAATAACTTCCATCTGCAACGAAAGCAACGGGGAGGGTGTGGGGTTCTGTATAGCTTATCCGTTTTCATATTCTTCTTTTTAGGCAACTCATTCACAAGCACTCGCACAAGATATTCACAAACACTTACTCCCATGCTACCTCCTGTAGCCCTTGTATCTTGCTGCTAGTCTGCAGTGTTCTAACCACATTTTGCATAGCGTACCAGCAAATGAAGACCTAGAAAACCTGCATCTACCCAGTCATGTCCATCAAAGTCGCCATAAACATGCATCGATATGCTTACGTAAAATGCAAATTCTAGATTCCCTGTCAACAGAGACATATAACACAAAGTTATATTCAAAATAGTCTGCAGCCTAGGGAGTTTTGTTTAAAACAGTATGCAGGTAAGGAAGGTACATTCAAAATAATTTGTAGGTCTGAAAGTTATATTCCAAATAATCGGCAGCTGAACAAAAATATTTTGTGACATTTCATAGCCACATAAAGAAAATACTTTTATTCACAGAAAAATACTCGGAATGTGTAAAATACATGTCACGTGTTTATTATCATCATGAATATCTCAGTAATTGTTTTACCTTTTACAAAGTAATAATCTTGCGAGTTCTTATGTTGCACCAAACATAAAAACACACAGGAGCTGGAAGTGATACCGTG